TGTACGAATGTGCTGGAAACAATTGATGTATGTATGGATTGTGATAAGAATTGTATGAGCCCCTAATAAAATGATTAAGAAAAAACCCAACTGATTGGCTCATGAAGATGATCACTATGAGAATTATGCACCTTCAAAAGAAAGCATCTCTTTGAGACCAAACATTGATCCTAAAGCAAAGATGAGAAGGGAAGGGGGGTAGGGAAGCTAGATAAATGAAAACAGAATAACCAGAGTGGAAATGGTGAGAGATGTTAACACATTAAGAAAATGTAACCATACATCAGTACAGACAAGAGCTTTTGATATGCAGAATTCAGGATAGACAAACCCCCTCAGAAAGAGTAATGGTAGGAATGATTCCAGGATGGGGGGGAAGGAGGAGCAGATAGCAATGATGGTGGAATAACCCCGCTCAAGGGGTACGAACACCAGGATAGTAGGTGAAGGGATAGAATGGGCAGTGTAAGATATGCATAAATAGTAAAAACAATACATAATGTATTAAGGGTTTGCAAGGGTGGTAGGGTGGGTGAGGGAGGGAATAAAGGGAGAAAATCACAGTGGGCTCAAGAAAAAAGATAATGTTTTGAAATTGTTAATGCCAACAATTGTATATGCATGCTTGGTATAATGGATGTATGGATTGTTATAATATATGTAAGAGCCCTCAATAAAATGATTTATTGTTTTAAAAAAAGAACATGTAACCAATGTCACTGAGCATTAAATATAAGACTATTAAATGGAAATCTACTTTGCTGACTAAACTTTTATGAAAACACACAACATATTCTTGAAACATAAAAACACAACAAAGCCCAATGGACACGTGCTATCACCAGGAGCCAGAACTGGCTCGATAGAGATTAGCAACCACGTTTCCACCTGAACGCTTCTGTATTGCCATCGACTCTCTCAACTTCTTGGTGTAGGACGAAGAATATCAAATGTGACTTTCAGGTAAATTAAATCTGAGAATCAAGGAGCCCCGTGGCTGGCGCGCTCCCTCCCCGGTGCTGTGTAGATTCTCCCTCTCTGTCTCAGAGGCACTTACAAGGAACCTTCCAGTTTTGTTGGAACAGCCGTAGAGCCGAGGGGGATGGTCTTCAGCCTGGGTTTCCAGCAGTGGGGAGGTCTGGTAGTCTCTTTTTCCTCCAAGGGGGCTCCAAAATGCCTCTGTGGGAAGCACAGCAAATTAACCAACGCATCTTCCGGAGCACACAGTGGTATTACTCCACCTCAACAAATAATATTATCCAACCTTGACAAGGTGATTTAAGAAGGCAGTTAAATAGCACCAGGTATTATTATCTACTATGCAATTATGGAGGGATTCTTAATCCCCTATCACCATTAGAATGTTTCTATTTATGAAAAAACAAATGAAGCACGTGAGTAGCAATTACACAAACAATTTCTGGTTCATTCCTTTGGCCTCACCTGGCTCCTCCCCTTCCTGAATCCTTGTGGTTGTACACCGGAGAACACTTGCTACGTATTCCGCCCCTCTCTCCTCCTCCTGGCTGGCCCCTCGTCCTACCCAGATGTAGCCACTGTTTTGTCGCAGTTTCAGGATAAAAGCATCGTTGGAATTCAGTGAATTTGCATCAACATCCACCTAGAGCATCAAAAAGAAAAGAGCCTTTAAATCCATGATGGCTGACTCCAGGAAGCATGTCCCTGCAGGGGTCCCAGTGACAAACCCACACAGCCTCATCCTAACCCCAGATAATGAGACACCAACCACCATGGTGTCTGAAAGCTTGGAGTGGGAAGATTTTTGATTTGCATCCCTTGAATAGCCAACTGCCCCCAGATGGTGGCACAAGGCTCTCGGACTAAAATGAAGCAAAAGGATGAAGCAAAGATTTGGAAAAGATGTTCAAGATGTTCAAGGATACCACTATCATTGGGGCAGAGCATATAATATTCCCAAAGGACACAGACAAAGCAAAGTGTTTTTCTGACCCTATGAATGATCGGGCTTATCAAATAAGCAAAGGGAAATCTGAAAAATGTTTAAAAAAAAACTTTAAAGGGGCTGGAGTCCAAAGCAGGCAGTGATATCACAGATTCACTAAGCAAAGTTCCCAGACTTAGGTAAATGAGGAGTCAACACATGAGCCCGTTTATGGGGAATTCAAACGCAGCACTGATATACGCCTTGCCTTCAACTCTGAAGCTGTGCACCCATCTGAAGGTATCTGGGATCATTCTCGTGACCATAGGGTAGAGAGTGGGTCCTAGTTGTGTCCAGAGTCCAGGTTGAGGGTGAATTTAAAAGTGGAACCTCTGGGCTGGGGGCAATAGGTGCAGAGGTCCGGGCTTGGCCATGAGGGTGCGTGTCCTAGAATGGGCTTTTGTGACTTGGTGAGAACCACTGTCTGCCCAGTTTGTTCTGACACTCAGGGGCTGGGTGTGACCACGTGAAACCAGGGAGACCAGGAGGACCCTGTAAGATGGAGAATGAACAGCTGAGGGGAAGGAGGTAACCAAGAGTGATGTGCTTGAGGCTGAGTGCTGAAAAACCTTTCAAGAAGGAGAACAAGATTAACAGTCCCCTGCTGAGCTGCCAGCAGGTAGGCACAACTACATGGAGAGTTGGCTTCACCCAGAGCCAGGGTTTTGTCCAGAGTCCTGGCAGCACAGTGGGCTGTGCAGCCACCCCACGGGGGAAAGAGAAGAGCCTTTCTGTTCCTGTAAATGTTTAATGCCTCAGGATTCCTAGGTAGGGTCATTATGAGTCCGACTCACTGAAGGGCACTAAGATTTCTCATGGGCAGGGGTAGAGTTCTATTTTAGGACCTTGTCCCCGAGAGAAGAGGTAAGGGTGGCTGTCCCAAGTTTTAAAGACATAGCCCGGGGGATAATAAATGTTAGGCAATTGGCTCTAGTTCTCTCTCAAGAGGAAAGGGCCGATTGGCCCATGCTGAACAGAATTTATCCTGCTGGGATGAGGGCACCTTGGTAGCATCGTGCCTTACTTGTTGGGCTGTTACCCCCAAGGTCCCCAGGAGAAAGACGAGGCTTTTTACTCCTGCAAAGAGTTACAATCTTGGAAGCCCTCAGGGGAAGTGCGACCGTGTCCTGTAGGGTCACTATGAATCAGAATAAAACTCTATGGCAGTGAATACGTTTAGTTAGTGATGACGGTGGATTATAGAAACCAAGTCTACTGTTTGAGACTTTCGACTTCTAAACTAAGCTGGCTTCATGGAGACAGAGGGAGATGAGAGAAAGGCAACAAGAGCCGGTGCCCAGATAGGTACACGATCAGGGAGGTGTTTGCAACACACAGCATGAAAACCTTTGCCCCCCAGGAGATGAGAAGCAACAAGACCTTCACACGATGGTTTTGAGTCGAGCCTCTCAGGCTGGGAGTGAGAGGTATTGCCAGTAAAAGACAATACAGCGACTTCACTGAAACAGGAAAGAAGGCAAAATGTATACGAACAGAGGCAGACACGTGGGTGAAGTTCAAGGGGAAAAGATGAAGTGACTCTCACCTTTTCATTTCTGTTTCTGTGATCCTTGACTCTGTTACTAATAGAAAGCAGGGAGGTGGAGATTAATTGTGAGAGGGGAGAACCCAGGGCATATTGGGTGAGGAGGATTCATGAACTGGTGCCTGGGATTAAGAACTTCTGGAATCTACCCACTGTAGGAAAGGAACCACAAGACAGGAAGTAATTGTCAGACACTAGACCTTTGAACTGGAGATTGCTAAGGGGCTACGGTTAGTTGGACCCCTCAAATGAGTTGACGTGGGCCAGAGAAAGACTGCTCTACAAGAGCAAGTCAAAACAAGGAGAGGGAAGACTCATGGAGACAAGGACTGCAATCAACCAAGAATGAGAAGCAAGGGGCTGGCTGCCCAGTAGACGCCAGAAGAGGTCTGGAGGAGAGAGTGGAGAGGCAGCAGTCAGCACCCCAGCACAGAGGCCCTGGGGAGAAAGTCCCCTGGAAAGGACAAGGGGAGGATATATATCTTCAAGTGACAACAGCCCAAAAGAAGGGACAGGGAAGAATTCGTAGAGGAGAGGTGGAGGGTGGAGGAGAGCAGTGGCCACCCAGCGTTCAGGGCTCAGCTGACCGTTGTAGATTTGCCCAGGCTTGGGGAGGGGCAGAGAGAGCATGGCAGTTTAGGGGTGATTTAAGAGGCTTGCATTTGGTTGGTGCCTGAGGTCACTGGACTACGAAAGATGAAGGGCTCGTCCTGAAGGCCAGGAGCCTCCGCGATTTAGAACCCTGGAGGTCTTGTCTTCTGCCGCCGTGACATGGGGTTTGATTTCTTTCACAGCAGCTGCCAGAGACAGCTTGTTTGGCCAGTTGAGTCATGGTTCTGGTCCGAAGTGACCAAGCCCGCTTCCCACATTTGTTCCACGTGTGCAAACAAGGGCTCCCCCCTCTCAGATGTCCCCAGGGAGGTTACCTGACCATCACCCACCATCCATCTTGCGTCAGACCTTTCAAGGCAAAGCTTAAGCTGCCCATGCCTTTGGCAGCTTGATTGGTTGTGTTTTTCTTAAAATTCATCTGTCTGGGTCCAACTTTTGTTGGAAAAACTGCAAGAGGCCTGGCATCTGGAGTCTAACTTTACACTCAGCTCTCTCGGTCTCAGTAGTTTTGATGGTGAGCATTGGATTCATTATAGAAATGAAGGGAATTCCCTGGCCAATTCTTCACAAACTAACACTTGTTGACAGCCCAGCTTCTCTGGGAAGCCCATCACCAAGGCGTGTTTTTATGGATGCATGACGTTACCTCCACAATTCTAGTGATAGATGCGAGGTTTCTCCGGACTTGAAAGAGGCGTATCGGGGGAGCCGGGGCCTGACCTCCTTTCTTTGATGTTCCATTCTTGTAAATAATGAGCGGTCTGTCTCTGAACAGGCTCAGCAGGTGAGCAGGCTCTTTGCCTTGGGAGACTCGGATCTGGGGAGGGCGAGGGGGCAGCACAAGGGGATGGGAAGAGAAATATCATGAAGGATGCAATGAAAGACATTTGTATTTCCAGACGTGTTTATAATTTTCTTTTGAAAACAAAATAAAAACTACAAAGTCAAGAGCAGAGGGAGCAGAGGTTACTAGAACACATGGGCTAATGGTCATCCCGCAAAGTTTCCTCACTGCCAGAAGGTTTGTGGGCTTGTTGCTCACAACCAGCACCCAGGCTTGTTCATCTCAGCTGAACGCCCCCCCTCCCGTAGGCCTTTCAGTGTCCAGGCAACATAAAATTGTATGTTTGTCATCTCCTTCAACAGAAGGGGCAAAAATATTGATTTATGCCATCCAATATGAAAATTACTCTTTTTTTAAAAAAAAAAGAAGCCATCCTTTTACAGATGGATTTAATTCTCTCCTGCTAGGGATCTACTTCAGGAGGCTGAGAGATTTTATTCAAACACTTAGAAAATAAGAAACCCCAAATCCAATCAATAAGTTCTACATCCCGGGTAGTGAAATGAAAATTAATCATAAATCCATACAGGCAAGGGTAAGATTTCCATGCACATTTTTAAAAACTAGAATTTAAAAAGTGAATTTACTTTCTAACTTTAACTTCCCTATGACAATGGTATGTGTATCACAGCTAATATAACATAATATAACATGAGAATTTTTCAAGGTAAATTTAAATAAATAGTTGCTTGATTTTTACTGATTAGTTTAAGATCAAATTTTGGATTAGAAATGAATCTCTGATTTCTTACCTAAACTGTGGGTGAGTTTTATTTTTAAAAGTTCATTCTCCTTGCTTTTTGTTTATTTTGCTTTTTCACCTTTTCTTCTCTGTGCTGAACTGCCACTAAGCTGTCCTTCTGACCCTGGTCTGTCTTTCGGTGGATGGGACCGCTGAGGCACAGTCCATGAAGGAAGCCATTCAAAGGATGAAAGCAGCTACTGGGTGACAGCCCCCGGACATGGTGGGGCAACAGGAAGTACCTGATCAGCCTAGCACTTCCTGTCCTGTTGAGAAACCTTAATTGCCATGATGAGAAAAAAGAAATGTTTAGCATCGCACTTCAGGATGGTTAGTTCTTTATGAATTCTTGTAAAGTACTACCATCTAGTGGCGAGGTTGAGAATTGCTATTTCGTTGTCAATTTAAGTTCTAACAGGCTAATGATGAAAATTCACTTAATTGGACATATAGAGCAAATATTGTACCATTTAGCCATGGCATTTATACATAACAAATATATTCAAAGTTTTAACCTAATTCTAAAGGAATACTTCAGAGACTGATCAGATGACATCTGCTCAGGTAGTCCCCAGGTTACAAAGGTTTGATTTGGGGCAATTCTTTTTTAATTTTTATTAATAAATCATTTTCTTGGGGACTCTTACAGCTCTTATAACAATCCATCCATAAATTGTATCAAACACATTTGTAAATATGTTCCGTCATCATTTTCAAAACATTTTCTTTCTGCTTGAGCCCTTGATATTAGGTCCTCTTCCCCCACCCCCTCACTCCCCTACCCTCCCACCCTCATAGATTGCTGATTAATTATAATAATTATTATTTTCATATCTTACACTGTCCACTGTCTACCTTCACCCATGTTTCTGTTGTTCATCCCCCTGGAGGGCAGATTATACGTCGATAATGGCAGACAGTTCCCCATTTCTCCCTTCCCCCCTCCCCTCATGTTATCACTACTCCCATTACTGTTCCTGAGGGGTTTATCTGTCCTGGATACCGTGTGTTTCCTGCTCTTATCTGTACCAGTGTACATGTCCTGGTCTAGCCAGATTTGTAAGGTAGAACTAGGGTCATGGTAGTGGAGGGGAGGAAGCATTAAAGAATGAGAGAAATGTGTGTCCTGTTGGTGCTATACTGCACCCTGGCTGACTCAGTCCTTCCTTATGACCCTTCTGTGAGGGGATGTCCAATTATCTATAGATGGGCATTGGGTCCCCTCTCCGACCCCCATCAATATGCATCAATATATTTGTTTGGTTTGGGTGTTCTAATGACCAATACCTGATCCTGTTGACACCTGATGATCACACAGGCTGATGTGATTCTTTCATGTTGGCTTTGTTGCTTCTCTGCTAGATGGCTGCTTGTTTAACTTCAAGCCTTTAAGATCCCAGATGCTATATCTTTTAATAGCCGGGCACCGCCAGCTTTCTTCAACACATTTGCTTATACGTCCATTTTGACTTCATTGATCGTGTCAGGGAAGTGAGCATCACAGAATGCCAGGTTATTAGAACAAAGTGTCCTTGCATTGAGGGAGTACTTCAGTAGAGACCCAATGCATCTGGGCAATTCTTACTTTTGCCCTTTAATGCTATATAAATTTGATAAATTTTCCTTCACTTTCAAACAACAGAGCCAAGACCTACTAATAACAAATTGCTCATCATAATTATTTTCATTTGCTGTGCATGTGGTCTTTCAATCATTCAAGACTGGGAACAGAATAGGACTGCCCCACAAGGTTTCTAAGGCCATAAATCTTCTAAGGCCAAAAAGACTGTCATCTTTTTCCCCAGAGCAGTTTTGTGGGTTAATTGCTGTGCTGAAGACTATAAGAACCCTGTGCACCTTCTCCAACTGACCTCCAGGTTCTTACAGATACAAGGGCAGATCTCGCCCCAAGCCCAGGGACTGCCTGTATTTCATGGAGAAAGAATCTAGTGCATTTAGATAATTTAATCGTACCTTAAAACGTAAATCCCTGTATGTATGGATTGTGATAAGAGTTGTACGAGCCCCCAATAAAATGATTCTTTTTTAAAAAGAAGTAAATTTCTAAACAAATACTTAATATGTAGAAGGCACCGTGGATCTAACTGGCTTTATACACCTGCTAGTGTGTGCCTTAGAGGAACCAGCGGGAAGACCAAATTCCACAGCCACCGCATCTTGGAGTTCGTTTTAAATTCTCGGCCTTATCTCTATAGTTAATTATTACATTTGGGGAAGAAAATGCCACGTTGATAAAGGTGGGAAGGGGAAAATAAACCTAAAGAGACAAAAGAACTTGCATACTACATCCTCTCAGCTCCCTGGACGTCGGCATGAGGAAGGACAAGACAGTGCCCTGCCCGGGACGTTGACGGATGAGCTTTTAAAGGGGACCTGCTTTCGAGTTGAACCCCCAGAGATGCTTCTTCTGGGCAAGGCCGCAAAACCAGATGGCCGCACCTCGACAGAGTGCGCAAGCAGAAAAGGAGAGAAGGGAGGAAGGAGGCAGGACGGAGGAGGAGGAGGAAAGAGCAGACACACAGGAACAGCGAGAAACAGTCAGAGAGAAACGAAGCCGCCTTCAGTCTGCGGTAAGGAGCCCGGTGGTGAAGGGGTTCACAGTGGACCCCCAACGGCAGGGTCAGCAGTTTGAAGCTGCAGGAGAAAGACCAGTCCGATGACGAGTTCCGGTCTCCTAGGTGTGACTAGCCTTGCTATCAGGCAGAGGGCACTGGAAAGTGGAATAAGGCAGATGTAGCTAGGTGAACATTTAACATCTTATCATTTGATCTCCCTTTTGACCCATTTTAAACCTGTTCTAGTTTTGAAATGTTTCTGCTCTCTTTTCGATTGAGGTTTTCCTCTATTTTGTTATTGTTAGTCGTTTTGTTTTTGTATGGAGACTTAAGCCCGTGTATGTTCAGAATTTGAGATCCAGGATGGACGTATCTACAGAGACAGTAGCTTGGTTGATGGTTTCTTGGGTGAATGGCAAGGAAAGTTGGGAGGAGATGGGGCACTACCAACAAGGAGTACAAGAAAGAAGAAAATGTTCTAAAACATATTGTGGTGATGATGGTTTTTCTTGATTGGATTGAACTATTGCACATATGATATGTGTGGATTATGTGCCAATAAAACTGCCCCCCCCCCCAAAAAAAAAAGAGTTACAGTCTCAGAAACTCACAGGGACAGTTCTACCCTGTCCTATCGGGTCTCTGTGAGTCGGCACCAACTCGATGGCCATGTGCTGGGTTTGGGTGTGCATTTAGGCTTCACAATCAGCAATTAAATAAGCAATGACCAAGAGTTCCCAGGAGTCAGCGAAAAGGCTTTTGTAATACATAACAGATATTGCACCAGAAATTCTCAGCTGAGCTTGAGAAAACAGAAATGAGGTGGAACTAGGCTTGAAAGGATACCTTAGATTCAATAAGGAGAATTAGACATTGATATTAGAATCTCATTGTTTGATACTCAAACTTATCATTAAAAGTCAACACATGAATACACTTTTTAATGTATGTGTCTGATCACAACCAAACCCACTGCCACTGAGTTGATTCCAACTCACAGTGACCTTAGAGGACAGGGCCGCCGCCCACAGAGCCTCGAGGGCTATCATTTTATGAGGACAGATGGCCACATCTGCCTCTGCAGAGTTGCTGCACTGTTCAAACCGCTGCCCTTTCCATGCCCAGACGCGCCTGAGACACTGAGCTACCGGAGCTCCCTAGTTACACGTTCTACGTTATAAGTGTTCTAGAGATATGCTCTAACACGCATGATAGTTACACACACTGCATTATCAAACAAACTTGGTCCATTGATAAGCTTGGTCCATATACAGTTGGCATTTTTAATTTGAGTTCAGACAACTCTACAAATTAATTTGTAATTGCCACAAATTGCCAAATAACTCATCTCCCTCTTCTCTCTCTCATTATCTTGTCCAGTTCCTGTTCCTCTCCCGTCAAGCTTTTCTTGTATTTCTTCCTGACTCTCCCTCCGAGCTCTGTTATTCCCCGTGTCCCTCTCTATTTCCTCTCTGCTCCCTTCTCTCCCTGCTCTTTTCCTCCCACTTATTTTCTCTTCTCCCCAACCCTCTATGTCTTTCTCTTCCTCTCCCCGCACTGCCCACCTTCCTTTGTCTTCCCCACTCGTTGTGGGGGTTGTTGGACTTTGTTCCAGGCAAGACACTGGTGCCTAGAAGAGAAATGGGGATCCCTCAGAATCAACTCAATGGCAGAGAGTGAGAGCTCTCTTAACAAGGTTGCCTTCAGTTTGTCGATGTGCATGGTAGCATATGCACTTTTATGACAAAATATTTTTCTGAAATATTTACCTATTACCTATTTACCTATTAATTACCTATCTACCTACTACCTATTAATTAACATGATATATTTGTATTTGTTTTATAGAGAATTGTGTTCATTTCCCATTACTGATAGACCAAATTAACCACACATTTACTGGCTTATAACAACACAGATTTACAATCTTCCAGTTCAGGTGGTCAGAAGTCTGAAGTGGATCTCCCAGGTGTTGGCAGGAGTACGTTCTTTCTGAAGACTCTCAAGGAGACTGTCTTCCCTTGCTTTATCCAGTCCCTAGAGACCTCCTGCACTTCTTGGCTTGTGGCCCCATCACTCAGCATCAAAGCCAGTAATGGCTTGTCAAGTCTTTCTTACCTGGCATCACTCTAACTTTTTATGCCCCCCTACTTTTATGGATCTTTGTGATTTTCTACCTGGAAAATCTTAAGGCCATAGAGTTAGCAACCTTAATTCTGTTTGCAAACCCGATTCTCCTTTGTCATGTGATGTAATAAGTTCACCAAAAAATAAAACCCCCAAACAAAAAACACTGCCATCGAGTAAACTCTGACTCACTAACCCTACAAGACAGAGCAGAACTGGCCTTGTGGGTTTCTGAGACTGTACATCTTTACAGAAGTAGAAAGCCACATCTTTCTCCTGAATAGATACACAGGTCCTAGTAAATAAGTAGTGGGTTTCTTGGTGGAGTGTGTGTGTGTGTGTGTGCGCGCGCGCACGCCAAGATTTAACACGAGCTGGAAGTGTGGACACCCAAATGACTCAATGTGAAGTAATGGTCATGACTGACAAATGGTATGGTTTTAAAAGGTATGTTTCTTCTCTGTTCATAAATAAATAAATTAGTTGATTTTCCATTTTTCATTTACTTGTGTTTGTGTCTTTTTTTTTTCTTTGGAATCGGTATGACATGAGTAGAGCAATATTTGAATTTCAAAATGGGCATAAAGTTAATCTCAAGGAAAGGTCCCTACTTCCACTTGGTTTTAACTAGAAAATGGATTAAGGCCCCATATGTCAATTCAGAAGCAGAGTAGCAGAAATGTAACTTTTATGAATTTTTATGGACAAACGTATCCCAACCTGCACAGCATTTCCTCCAAGGGACCGGTCCAACTGAACAGTCAGGAAGGCAGATGTCGTCAGCTCATCTCTGGTGGCATTTGCTCCTTGCCTAGGGGAAGCATCATAAAATAAAGCAGGCTGTGTTCATGTTTTAGGACATCCTAATGTTCCTTGAAGACATCCTAATAAACATATTCAGAGAAGCTGGCTTAATATGAAGAAGAAAATTCCTCCAATCCGGATTGGAGGAAGGCTTATTAACAACCTGTAGTATGCAGATGACACAATCTTGCTAGCTAAAAGTGAGGAGGACTTAAAGCACTTGCTGATGAAGATCAAGAATTGCAGCCTTCAGGATGGATTACAACTCAGTGTAAGGAAGACCAAAAACCTCCCAATGGGACGAATAGACAACATCATGATAAAGGGAGAAAAGGTTGAAGTTACCAAGGATTTGTTATGCTTAGATCCACAATCAATGCTCATGGAAGCAGCAGTCAAGAGATTAAAAGAAGTATTGCATTAGGTAAGTCTGACCGAATGCAGTACTGACGAACTAAGGGACATCTGACCCAAGCTATGGTATTCTCCATGGCATCATTTGCATGTGAAAGTTGGGCATCGAATAAGGAAGACCACAGAAGAGCTGATGCATTTGAATTGCGGTGCTGAAGAACACTGCAAGTACAATGGACTGCTAAAGGGACAAACCCGTCTGAATGCGAAGAAGTAAGGTCTGGGTGCCCCATAGAGACAGGGATAGCAAGACTTGGTCTTCCACACTTTGGACAGGTTGTCAGGACAGACTAGGCCCTGGGCAAGGACATCATGTCTGGTAAAGTGGAAGGGCAGTGGCAAAGAGGAAGATCCTCAATGAGATGGATTGACACAGTGGCTGCATCAATGGGCTCAGGTGCAGGAACAATTGTGAGGATGGCTCAGGGCTGTGTAATGTTTCATTCTGTTGTGCATAGGGTCGCTGTGGGTCAGAGCCATCTCAATGGTACCTAAAAACAACAACAATAAACGTATTTCAAGTACAACCTTAAGTAATTATGAAAGATCAAGAAGAAAACAGTTGTTCAAAATAAGCTTTGACAGCTATAGTTTTGTTCTCCCTAATGAAAGGCACCGATCACAATATAGTCTTTCTTATGTTGTGAGCCCAAATTTCCCACGAGTCTATCCCTGCTGTAGTGGTTATGCATTGGACTGTGATCCACATGGTCAGCGCTTCGAAACCACCAGCAGCTCCTCAGGAGAAAGACTGGGCTTTCTGTTCCGGGAAAGAGGTACAGTCTTGGAAACCCCAGGAAGAGGCTATGAGTCAACAGCAACTTGATGGCACTAAGTTGGACATGTTTTTTTTTCCTTTTAATCATGGCTAACAAGGAGCCCTAGATATGCTATTGGGTAAGCATTGGATCGGTAATAACAAAGTCAGTGGTTCAAACCCGCTAGCCGGTCCATGGGAGAAAAAATGACACTCTCTGCTCCCATCGGGATGCACAGCCTCAGAAACAGCCGGAGCTGGCATCAGTGGAAGGCAGGATGAGCAGGCTGCCAGCGCCCTGCAGAAGACCCCCCAGCACAGGGGCAAGTGCGGGACCACTGGCAGCGCCGTGCAGAAGACCCCCCAGCACAGGGGCAAGCGCGGGACCACTCAGCATCGTCCTGGATCCTGAGGCAGACCTGAGCCACAGCTGCACTTCCCGAACCCTCTCTACATTTGGCTTCTTTTCAGAAGGGAAACAAATTCATTTAAACAATATCATCAAGGGTTTGCTTCTATTTTGCATTTACTACTTTTCTTTCTTTCTCTCCCACTCCCCACCCCCTGCCCCGGAGTATCATATGAGGAACCTGTATTCTTCTGACATCCAATAAAGACTTCACTCCTTGTTTTGCTAGGTTCCTGACAGAGTGGCCATGCCCCCATCCATATAAATGAAAACTAATCTGCTTTATGGATGTATTGCACAGGGGCCACGTTTTCCACGACGCTCAAGCTACCACACAATCTACCTCTGCCTGGACTTTGAAATCCCATGCCGAGGGGCTGGGGTGAGTACAGGGGAAGCAACCTACTGGGTCTGACATGACTTCTTTTTTATCAAGTGGTGGCGCTCATTGCTCATTAAAAGTAAACGGTCCATGACAATGGGCTTGACTGCTTCAAGAGACTCGTCACTGCCGTGTTCAGTGTGCGTAGTTTCC